AGAGACAAAGCAAAAAGAGGAACAATAACAAAAGAAAAAATACAAAAAACAAAAACACCCCACACAAAACCCCTAGAACACACACACACAAATCCAGAACAAAACCTGAAATAAAAGCCCGAGAATTGTCTTCCAAGGGGGGTGGGGGGGGAAGAGGAGGGGAGCGGGTGAGGACGTCTGCTTCTCGCTGGGACAGGGCTCGGCACGCGTTGAAAGCCCCGGTGCCCAGGTCTTCCCTCGATTGGGACCCAGACGTCCACTGGCAAGGACTGGAGGAAGATTAAGGAGGATTATAACATGGGGGTTCATTCCTACCCCCATCACCTCCCTCCCCCTGACTCCCCACCAAGATTTTGCAGAGAGAAATGGCTTTTGTACCAGGTCATTCTTTATAATTAAACTTACAGTATCCACCCCCTCGAGCCGGCCCCGCTTCCTTCCTGGGGCGGCCACGCCCCCTTCCCTCGGGGCTCCGGAGCCGGCGCGGCGGCGCGCACGCGCAGTCGGTGCCCGAACCCGGGCCTCAGTCCTCCTCGGTCGGCTCCGCCCCCAGGGCCTCGAGCATGCGCCGCCGGACCAGGGAGCGGCGCAGGTGCAGGCGATAGTCCCCCAGCAGCAGTTCGTCGTGGCGCACGAGCTGGTGCGCGAGCCCGCGGGGACGCAGCCCGCAGCGCAGCAGGCGCGAGCGGGTCTGGAAGTCTGCGACCGTGATGAGCCACCTACCAGGGCACGAGGGCACGGGGGCGGGAGGCAAGGGGCGGGGCGGAGACGGAAGAGGAACTCGCTGGTGGTCCCAGTCCCGTCTTTGGTCCAAGAGTCCCTGCTGGTTCCCTGCCTTCGTTTGCCGACTCCGCTCCAACAGCCCGTCACTCTGTCCCTAAACTCCAGCCCTGCCCGCTCGCCAAGATCAACCCAGGCCCTGGCCTCCCTCTGGGTCATTCTAGGCTCCGTCCTCTCTCTCTGACCGATTCTGCCTCCTAAATTCTGTCGGTCGTGTCTCCATCCCAAACCGTCGGCTCCAAAGGCCGACCCTCACCTGGCAACCCCAGGTCCCCCGGTGCCCATCCCCACCCGATTACCTCTGGCCCTGCCGCTACTATATGCTCAGTCCACTCCGCCCCCTTTTCCAGGCTCACACACCTCGATCTTGCCCATCCCCGTGACTACCTGAGTCACTCAAAGTTCGGTTCCAGCCTCCAGACCCCGCCTTCTCTCTGAGTGCATCCGGCCGCACCCCTCTGCACCCTGACGCCTGCTCTGGTCTTATCAAGTCGCTCCAGGCCCCGCCCCCTCAAGGCCTGCCTTTAGGCCACGCCCCCAGGCCTACTGAGGCCACGCCCCGCCACGTAGCCGAGCTCACCGTGGCCTGGTCAGCT